TATATTTTTATTTTACTATATATTATATTTATTATTTTTATATATATTGATTATATATGTACTGTTTATGACAAAAATCAAAAGAAACTATTTTGCTCTTAAGTAAATACAGTTACAGTGTGTGACTAGACTTGTGTGTTTGTGTGTCTGTTGTTCTGATGGTCCTGGTTTCATCTAGTTTAATCTGGTTTCGTCTGGTTTATTCTGGTTTTGTCTGGTTTGATCTGGTTTCGTCTGGTTTAATCTGGTTTCGTCTGGTTTAATCTGGTTTTGTCTGGTTTTGTCTGGTTTTGTCTGGTTTATTCTGGTTTCGTCTGGTTTAATCTGGTTTGATCTGGTTTTGTCTGGTTTAATCTGGTTTATTCTGGTTTAATCTGGTTTGATCTGGTTTCGTCTGGTTTAATATGGTTTCGTCTCCTCAGGCTCGGCGCTCTCTGGCACACCACCTCTCAGATCTACACCAGCGTCACTGTGGAGGTGGGCTGACCTCATTTGATTGACATGAGCGAGAGCCAATCACGTTACAGCTGTGACCAATAGAACTCACTCAGTAATTCTTCTCTGCTCTGATTGGTTCTAGTTCCTGCCCGTCTACACGCCGTCACAGGAGGAGAAGGAAAACCCGGACGTATACGCTGAGAATGTCCAGAAGCTCATGGCCAAGTGAGTCGTGGGACACACACACACACACACACACACACACACACACACACACACACACACACACACACACACACACTCACTCACTGACGGGCTAGTGGAGCCAGCTACAGCTGTGACCGAAGTCATTCACCCCTACTGCACATCAGGGTTAGTGGCAACATTTACAGGCATTCAGCTGTTTTTCAATGGACAAATCAAACAAAAGTAATTGAAATAGATAGAAAGTGGAAATGCACGTTTTAATGACTTCTCAAAATTATTCAACCCCAATTATTAGAATCCCTCATAACTAGTGGTTGATCGATATATCGATACGTTTTTCTGATTGGCCGAAGTGTTGGAAGTGGGACTTTTATTTTGATGGAAACCAGTTGAAAAGTGTGTTGTGTTGAGCTATATCAATTACTTTTGTTTGATTTGTTCACTGCTGAAAGTCTGTACATTTTGCCCATAAACCTGCTATAATTTGCAACGGTTGAATAGTTTAATCACAACTGTAAGTGACTTCAGTGTTTTACATTAGCATTAACAGTTAGTGAATAGTGCATTCATAGTCAAAGGATTTACCAATATTTTATCAAAAATATTTTTTGTATTTAACGAAATATATGTAGAATGTGTGCAACAGGGTTAGTATCATAAACTAAATCCATAAAACAACATTTTTATTTCATTTTTAATTATGTCTATTTTTCATTTAGATTAACTTCATGTAAATAAAAATAAAAATTATATAGACATTAAAAAAAAAACAATAAAAATGACAGAAATACAACATATTTATTAAAACTTCAACTGAAATGAAAATAAGACTGGTGTTATTTTAGTATTATATAATATTTTGAGTTAGATTTTGTTTTTATATATCCTAAATTGTATTTATTAATTATTTCAATTTAATCTTAGTTTAAGTTTTAGAAGTTTGCAAAATTGTATAATTTTATGCGCTTTTGCCTTTTTATATATTTTTCTATTTAATTTAATTTATTTTTATTTTAGTTTTAGTAATTTTAGAACTTCAATTACTACATTTAAAGTTTTAAGTTTTTCATCTAGTTATAATTAATTTAATTTCAGCTTGATTTCAACTACTAAAATGATTGTGTAATAGTTTATTTGGACAGTTTTAGTTTATTTTAACAATAACAACCTGGTTAATTCAAGATCAAGATGAATTGGACAAATAACATGTTTGCTGTATGATTAGTGTAAGCAGTATTTCTGTAATAAGTGTGTGTTGTGTTCTCAGAGATCAGTGTGTGTTGTGTTCTCAGAGATCAGTGTGTGTTGTGTTCTCAGAGATCAGTGTGTGTTGTGTTCTCGGAGATCAGTGTGTGTTGTGTTCTCAGAGATCAGTGTGTGTTGTGTTCTCAGAGATCAGTGTGTGTTGTGTTCTCGGAGATCAGTGTGTGTTGTGTTCTCAGAGATCAGTGTGTGTTGTGTTCTCAGAGATCAGTGTGTGTTGTGTTCTCAGAGCTCAGTGTGTGTTGTGTTCTCAGAGATCAGTGTGTGTTGTGTTCTCAGAGATCAGTGTGTGTTGTGTTCTCGGAGATCAGTGTGTGTTGTGTTCTCAGAGATCAGTGTGTGTTGTGTTCTCAGAGATCAGTGTGTGTTGTGTTCTCAGAGATCAGTGTGTGTTGTGTTCTCAGAGATCAGTGTGTGTTGTGTTCTCAGAGATCAGTGTGTGTTGTGTTCTCAGAGATCAGTGTGTGTTGTGTTCTCAGAGATCAGTGTGTGTTGTGTTCTCAGAGATCAGTGTGTGTTGTGTTCTCAGAGATCAGTGTGTGTTGTGTTCTCAGAGATCAGTGTGTGTTGTGTTCTCAGAGATCAGTGTGTGTTGTGTTCTCAGAGATCAGTGTGTGTTGTGTTCTCGGAGATCAGTGTGTGTTGTGTTCTCGGAGATCAGTGTGTGTTGTGTTCTCAGACATCAGTGTGTGTTGTGTTCTCAGAGATCAGTGTGTGTTGTGTTCTCAGAGATCAGTGTGTGTTGTGTTCTCAGAGATCAGTGTGTGTTGTGTTCTCGGAGATCAGTGTGTGTTGTGTTCTCAGAGATCAGTGTGTGTTGTGTTCTCAGACATCAGTGTGTGTTGTGTTCTCAGAGATCAGTGTGTGTTGTGTTCTCAGAGATCAGTGTGTGTTGTGTTCTCAGAGATCATTGTGTGTTGTGTTCTCGGAGATCAGTGTGTGTTGTGTTCTCAGAGATCAGTGTGTGTTGTGTTCTCAGAGATCAGTGTGTGTTGTGTTCTCAGAGATCAGTGTGTGTTGTGTTCTCAGACATCAGTGTGTGTTGTGTTCTCGGAGATCAGTGTGTGTTGTGTTCTCAGAGATCAGTGTGTGTTGTGTTCTCGGAGATCAGTGTGTGTTGTGTTCTCGGAGATCAGTGTGTGTTGTGTTCTCAGAGATCAGTGTGTGTTGTGTTCTCAGAGATCAGTGTGTGTTGTGTTCTCAGAGATCAGTGTGTGTTGTGTTCTCAGAGATCAGTGTGTGTTGTGTTCTCGGAGATCAGTGTGTGTTGTGTTCTCAGAGATCAGTGTGTGTTGTGTTCTCAGAGATCAGTGTGTGTTGTGTTCTCAGAGATCAGTGTGTGTTGTGTTCTCAGAGATCAGTGTGTGTTGTGTTCTCAGAGATCAGTGTGTGTTGTGTTCTCAGAGATCAGTGTGTGTAGATCAGTGTGTGTTGTGTTCTCAGAGATCAGTGTGTGTTGTGTTCTCAGAGATCAGTGTGTGTTGTGTTCTCAGAGATCAGTGTGTGTTGTGTTCTCAGACATCAGTGTGTGTTGTGTTCTCGGAGATCAGTGTGTGTTGTGTTCTCAGAGATCAGTGTGTGTTGTGTTCTCGGAGATCAGTGTGTGTTGTGTTCTCGGAGATCAGTGTGTGTTGTGTTCTCAGAGATCAGTGTGTGTTGTGTTCTCGGAGATCAGTGTGTGTTGTGTTCTCAGAGATCAGTGTGTGTTGTGTTCTCAGAGATCAGTGTGTGTAGATCAGTGTGTGTTGTGTTCTCTGAGATCAGTGTGTGTTGTGTTCTCAGAGATCAGTGTGTGTAGATCAGTGTGTGTTGTGTTCTCAGAGATCAGTGTGTGTAGATCAGTGTGTGTTGTGTTCTCTGAGATCAGTGTGTGTTGTGTTCTCAGAGATCAGTGTGTGTAGATCAGTGTGTGTTGTGTTCTCAGAGATCAGTGTGTGTTGTGTTCTCAGAGATCAGTGTGTGTTGTGTTCTCAGAGATCAGTGTGTGTTGTGTTCTCGGAGATCAGTGTGTGTTGTGTTCTCGGAGATCAGTGTGTGTTGTGTTCTCGGAGATCAGTGTGTGTTGTGTTCTCAGAGATCAGTGTGTGTTGTGTTCTCAGACATCAGTGTGTGTAGATCAGTGTGTGTTGTGTTCTCAGAGAACAGTGTGTGTTGTGTTCTCAGAGATCAGTGTGTGTTGTGTTCTCGGAGATCAGTGTGTGTTGTGTTCTCAGAGATCAGTGTGTGTTGTGTTCTCAGAGATCAGTGTGTGTTGTGTTCTCAGAGATCAGTGTGTGTTGTGTTCTCAGAGATCAGTGTGTGTTGTGTTCTCGGAGATCAGTGTGTGTTGTGTTCTCAGAGATCAGTGTGTGTTGTGTTCTCAGAGATCAGTGTGTGTTGTGTTCTCAGAGATCAGTGTGTGTAGATCAGTGTGTGTTGTGTTCTCAGAGAACAGTGTGTGTTGTGTTCTCAGAGATCAGTGTGTGTAGATCAGTGTGTGTTGTGTTCTCAGAGAACAGTGTGTGTTGTGTTCTCAGAGATCAGTGTGTGTTGTGTTCTCAGAGATCAGTGTGTGTTGTGTTCTCAGAGATCAGTGTGTGTTGTGTTCTCAGAGATCAGTGTGTGTTGTGTTCTCAGAGATCAGTGTGTGTTGTGTTCTCAGAGATCAGTGTGTGTAGATCAGTGTGTGTTGTGTTCTCAGAGAACAGTGTGTGTTGTGTTCTCAGAGATCAGTGTGTGTTGTGTTCTCGGAGATCAGTGTGTGTTGTGTTCTCAGAGATCAGTGTGTGTTGTGTTCTCAGAGATCAGTGTGTGTTGTGTTCTCAGAGATCAGTGTGTGTTGTGTTCTCAGAGATCAGTGTGTGTAGATCAGTGTGTGTTGTGTTCTCAGAGATCAGTGTGTGTTGTGTTCTCAGAGATCAGTGTGTGTTGTGTTCTCAGAGATCAGTGTGTGTTGTGTTCTCAGAGATCAGTGTGTGTTGTGTTCTCAGAGAACAGTGTGTGTTGTGTTCTCAGAGATCAGTGTGTGTTGTGTTCTCGGAGATCAGTGTTCTCGGAGATCAGTGTGTGTTGTGTTCTCGGAGATCAGTGTGTGTTGTGTTCTCAGAGATCAG